TGACACAATCTCTTTTTTGAAGGAATTGAAAAACCAGCCAAGTAGCTCCCATTTTTGTAGCACTTTGGAATGTAGCAAGCACTTTCACGTTATAATATTCAATATACACACAGGGAATTTAAGGCTTTTTTTTTTTGGTACCGGGGATTGAACTCGGGTCCTTGCGCTTGCACAGCAGGTGGCCAAACCATTAAGCTAAATCCCTGGCCCCAACTCTTGGTATTTTAACAGAGAACCTCCCAGAGTACATTGGCATGAGAAGCTACCTGAAACTGTACATAATTAAACCAGGAGAAAATAGAATTTAATATCTGAGACTCCTTATAGATGGATTTTTTTTTTGTATTGGGATTGAACTCAGGTCTTTGCGCTTGCACAGCAGGTGGCCAAACCATTGAGCTAAATCCCCGGCCCCAACTCTTGGTATTTTAACAGAGAACCTCCCAGAGTACATTGGCATGAGAAGCTACCTGATTCAAGTGATGAAATAATAAAGGATGCTCTCTGGGTGGGACATTTTAGCCAAAGTTGCACAACCAAAGTTGCATAACTAATAGACTACAATCTCCATGAGACTAGATAAACTTTACTGAGTGGGTGATTCATAGGGTTTAAGTTTCTTTACAAGTAGCTTGAGCACTAATGAAGGAATCTACCTTTAATTTTAATTAGTCAGGTTGCAGTTATTTTCACAAAGGTTGCTGGCAAAAAAAAGTGAAATACATCTCTGAAACTGAACATATACAAGAATAAAGTCAACACATTAACCTTGTTGAGGTATCTCCTTACTAAACTGCCCTGTGCGTTACTACGGTAAACTGATCCATAGGAGGCTTGCAACTTTGCACTTTCTTTAAACAGTGTCACTTTATGTATACAGGCATGCTTATAGTGTACCAGCATCACTGATTGAACAACAAAAGCCTATCTTAAAAAATAGTATTAATAACATAGACAGTGACAAGAGAAGACATTTTAAAATTATAAGTAAGATGTATAAAATGTTGCAGTCATGGTTTTATACTCCCTATCCTAAATTATTATTTTTTTTAAAAATTGGCAAGGGTAGTGTGAGAACTGCTGAGAAACCACAAATGGTACTTTAATTGTGATGAGTAACCTTACATATATAACTTGTGGCTGAGCTCTTAACCAACTAATACCTCATTATCTTCCTTTGGAGGGAGTAAGTTTCCATGGGCAAATACTTTTAGAAAAGCTGGGAGGTTACGTACATTACTGTATTAGCATGTTAAAATCTCTGAAGTCAGCAATAATTAACCTCTTAAATTCAAACAATGAACACCTCAAATCTAATTCATCTTAGAATCAATTTGGTGTGGAATGCATATCAATGTTAGGCAAATCTAGAATTCATTTCAGGAAATTATTGTTGAGAGAAGTGGTTTTTTAAATTCATTCATTAATTGAATCATTCATTGATTCAGCAAATATTTTTGAAGAATCTATTTCAATCACCATTCTAGGCACCAAGAATAAACAGGGATAAATGTCAATATTCAGAACAAAGCCTATCCATGATGAAGTTTTCACTGTCAAAATGTAAAGCTTAAGGACAATTCAGAGAATTTTTCTGTAAAGTTAAGGATTATTCCTACTCAGAAATTACCCATTTTTATTCCTCTCAGTTCTAAAATGCCTTTTATAAAATAAAGGTATTAGTAAATGATAGGGTATCCCTGTCATCTTTAAAAATGCCTTAAGTAAAATTTGAATATTTATGAAAACTTTTTTTGGAAATTTTACTAAATCATAAAATCCAGAAAGACTACCTCTATTGATCTGGAGAACCCACCCATCTGTGATCCATTTATAAACAGATGTTAAACATCTGAATCCTGCCTTGCATGGTCTTCAACTAATTTCTAAAATGTTTTTAAAATCACTTAGTGGCTGGTTCAAAAAATAGAATGTTGACAGGGAAGATTCAAAGTCTGGCACAAAATAAATCATGAGCCTAAAATAGAGGTGTAAACTACTAGGAGATCATGTTTATATTAATGGGGCAATCTTGTTTCTATAATAGTTTACGTTTGCAAATATTTCTTGACCAGGAAAATTATTATTTTAAAAGGCATATTAAAGGTCTGGGGATGTAGCTCAGTAAAAGAACATTCACCTAGCACATGCAAGGAGTTGAACTCTATCACAAACATCAAAGAAACAATAAAAAACATTAAAAGGACATGTTAATAGTGGAGAAATTTTACTTTCTTCTGAAGTACTTCTTAGAGCAAATAAAAGTAGGGAGGATGTGGCATAATTTCTCTTTTCAAGCTACCATTTCAGTTTTCATTGGTTATTAAAAGGGTTTTTTTTCTTTTGTATTGTGCAGTGTTCACGGTTTTGTCTTGTAACAGGTTCAGAAGAAGAACCCAATCCTGTTTTGAAAACTTTGGAAAGGAGTGCTGCTAGAAAAATGCCTTCCAAAAGTCTAGAAGACGTTTCATCAGACCCATCAAGTGAGAATAAAGTTCGCCCCGCAGTTCATGCCTCACCTAAGCTTAAAAACGCTTGTGTGCTCTTCTCTGGCCTCACTGCATGTAGTCATGCACTGAAACCCCAAACATGGGGGTTAACTGATGACAATAACCTTTCCCAAGTGTGCTGAAGAGGGTCACCCTGAAGCATTCTGGAATTTTGCTTTTAAACTAATGCATGAGGTTTGGTTACTAGAATACTAGGTTTCCCTGAAACAAAGCATTGACATTTGAGTGTTTACTAAAGTATAGTGAGTTTTAAAGGACAATGGTAGCTAGTAGTACTAGCAGAACTAATAACAGTAATAAGTAACACTTACTGAATACTATATGCCAAAAACTGTCTAAGAATTTTACTTTTTGTCACATTTAACCAACACAAAAAACAATGTGGGAAAAGAATTATTGTTGTCCTCATTTTATAGAAAGAAAATGCACCTCAAAGGGTAAAATAGCTTATATCACACAGCTGGCCTGAGACTCAAACTGACACAACTGCTATCAGCAGCATTTATGAATTGACCACATTAATATGTGTTGTGTGTCTAATGGATCTTTGTGATCTGGAGTTGAATTAGCTTCTGGCTTTAGGGATTTTCCCTTTCTCTCTCATTTCTTCTTTTCTATTCACATATTTCTTTTGGATATTAGGACGATAAGCCCAGAGACTACCTAATCCTTTAGGTCCCTTGTTTTCCACTGGGTGCTGCTTTAATTGGTAAGGGATTTCTTGACTACCGACAGGAAGCACAATGTATATAGGGACTTGTGTGCCAGACAAATGGATTTAGAAACCACAGCTTCCAAGGGGTTTGTTCTTACTGTTTTGAAGCTAAAATATACCTCTGGGATTTTGTTGCCATGAGAAAAACTGACTAAAAACTAACCAGTGCCAAGCTCATGATTGATAATTGACCATTTCAGGTTTAAAATAGTTTTTAAGCATCTGAAATTGAGATTGAAAAATTGGAGTTTAAAAAGAAAAAGTAAAAGCCACTTCATCTAACAGTTCCGGAAACTGACAGGTTTCCAGAGATCTGAAGACAGTATTCCCAATTTTGAATGCAATCCTAACCCTCCCAAGGATCTTGAAATTTTAGAATTGGAAGGGACCTTGAAGTTCACCCATTTCAACAAATTCCCTCTAAAGCCTCCTCAGCAAGTGGTCTGCCCCTGCATCTGTCTGAATGCTTCCCCTAGAAGGCAAGTCTAGTTCTTTGTTGGACAGCCCTGATTGTTCTTCCTTATGTTGGTGATGGGCCCCGAGGAAAAAAAAAAGCAGCAACAATTGTTCAGTTTAGCAAACCTCTTGCCTGTGAAGCACAGAGCTATTTCCACGGTGCAGCTTTAAAGTATTCCGGAATGTGTAGAGTTAAAAAAAAAATCACTATCAGCTGACGGGTATTCCTGCACGCTCTCTTCCAAATACCGATACCCACTCTCACACTAGCCTGCCAAAATTCCACTTAGCAGCTGGTCCCCAGTTACATCTCTTCAGTTGACTTCCCAAGCAAGCCTCCCAGAGGCATACGCAATTGATGATGCACTTACACAAATATCTGTTAATGACCATAGGTTTGGGAAGGTGTTAGTCATGGCTAACATCGTACCCTTTCCAGAAGAATAGAGATGCCATTTGCAGCCTTTTACTTTCTCCTGCTGCCAGCCGATCGAATGCTCTGAGCTAATCCTCTAACCCTTGGGAGTCAGTGTGCAGCAGTATGCTGATGTGAGCTGCATCGGGACTGAAATGGGAGCTCCCACTATGGCACTCGCTCAAGTAGCTAATCTAAAGAGAAAGTATTTTGGGGAAGACATCTTGGTTGCACCCCTCACTGCATCTTGACTAATTGCTTCCAACTCCAGGAGCTTCCAGAGATAATCTCATTGTTCTTTTCTCTCCATGGGCCAGCCATGTTAACTATTTGTTAATTTCTCCTAAACAGATCAAGCAAAAGTAGATAATCTGCCAGAAGAATTAGTACATAGTGCTGAAGATGGTAAATATCTTTATGTATTTGCATGTCTGTTTGTGTATTAAATTGTGGCTGGGGTGATTTGAGCAGTCACTGTTGGATAAATAGAAGAATGTCATTTGCCACTATGTGGCCAATAGTGCCTAAATTATTATAAAAACTGTTCTGACTTAGTGCATTAAATACTGTGTGTATATTTAAGGCTTCTGGTGTTACCATTGTGAGGATCTCAATAGTGACCCTGGGGAAGCAAGGATTTCTATAAATAGGAAATTGTGTTTCTATGGATATGAGCTGATTTCTACTTCTCTGACTTGCAGAACTTTTGAAAGAAGAAAGAGTAGAAGGGGTTCTTGGGTTAAGTTATTTCTGTGTTTTCTTCTCAAGTCTCAGCATTTAGATCACCAGACATAACCACCATAAAAAGGGAAAGGTACTAGAATAAGAGTGGAGGAATCTTGCCTCTGTTGATACAAATAACTTAGGCTGAGTGTAAAATTAATTGATTCTAAATATAAGGAGCCAAAATATCTTGAAGCTTGTCAATGGATCACGTATTACTTGGTTCATTTTTTAAAGGAATAGGATAATAGTGTCTTGGTGGGTTGAGGGATGGAAGAATGTCCAATTTTTAGGGTTCAGAATTTATGCAAATGAGTAATTTATATTTGTTTGCTGTTTTACATTTTTCTAAATTGCTTTCACTGTAGTCATAAAAATGTTATTCACTGAGTTTTCCTATATAAAATATAGTGACTGAGCCCTTTAAAAATCTTTGCTTTTATGTAATAGTTTTGTCTTTCTTATTTTACAACAACCTCATTGAAATAGGAGGGGCAAGATTTTATTTATTTTGCCAATAAGAAAAGCTCAGAGAAATTTGATGATTTTCCTAAGATGTTGTGGCTAGTCAGTTAGTGAGGGCATGGAAAAGAATCTCAGCTTTGTCCTTCCTTTCCATTTCAATGTTGTGGATGAAAGGACAGAGGCTGCACATCTTCTATGCTAGATCTTAGTTTTTAGTTGAACAGCAGACCCTAAGAAGGTTGATGAAAGTCGCACTGGCATATGGACGAAAGCAAGCTGAAAATTTGTCAATATATTCCAAGTTTCTGTTGTGAAACTGACATTTGAGCTTTACTTTCATGTCTGTTTAATCCTTCTGTTAAAATGGTATTTATTCTCAATGTTACTCTTCTGAGTAGATCAAAAAGCAGATCAGGAACCAGATACAAATGAATGCACACCAGGAAGTGAGTAGCAGGATTTTTCTCAAAATGACTAAATGTTCTCTTTGCATAGTGTTTAATATACTGAAAGAACTAACCCATTAATAATGCAGCACTTACTATTGCTGAACTTTTGCAGCTTGCAAAACTATTTCATTCTGATTAGGGTTTATTAAAAACATTTTATTGAGGCCATACTCTTAAGTGAAATAGGACACAGATGTGTAAATACCAAATAGTATCTCTAGTGTGAGAAACTGAAAGTGTAAATAAGGATGAAAATGATTAAAACGAATAATTGATAATTTGAAATAGGAAAAGGTCCAAAGGGGTAGGGGTGGCAGGAGGGGAAGGGGAAAGGGAAGAAAGGAAAGGAAAAATTATGAGAAAGAAAAAAAAGGGAAACAAAGTCTATGTAAATAGGGAAGGGTGGAGGGGGTGAAGGGCGCATAGGTTAATGCGGGAAAAAATAACTAAGATACATCATGTTCAGGTACAAGCACCCAATGATAAATGTAAATGTATTTTATACCTAAAATGTACCAATTAATATATAAATTAAAAAACATTTTGCTACTGTCTATATAAAAAAATTCATGGTTCTAAGGGAGAGCTAAATATTTAAAATATGTATTATATTTATATTGCAGTTACTGAATATTATTGACTTTTGTCAGTCTCTGCTCTTTATGTCTGCTTAAAATCAAGTTGACATCTTCTGATTTCCTTTGGCTTTTATGTTGGAGTATGGCTTTGAGTATTGAATCTCTTGTGGCCTCTGTACAAGATTGTAGCCATGAAGCAATTTACAGTATTCAATTTAATTGGACCCAAGAAAGAACTATATTTTGGCAGTTTAAATGTAACATGGCTGTATTTGCCTCTACATATCTATGAAAGCAAATTTTATGTTCAAGGTTTATATTCTGAGGTTTAGAGCTGAAGTTCAACAGCAAATATTCAACATAAAAGGGAAGTGAACATCTGAATCTTAGAAATAAATGTATACCCATGTTGACAAATGTCCATCAACTAATTAATGTCTACCACCATGCAAAGATAATGGTTGTTCCCTCTTTTCTGTTCAATCTTAAGATTACTTAGCTGTGACTGCTCTTTTAAAGACAAATGATGTTTTTAAATGTTTGTAGGACCTAGTAATGCATGCATGTATGTGATTTCTCAGCTCCCCAGTTTCATAAACCTAGACATTGGAGGAATGAAGATAGTGATATATGTGTTTTCCCTGACCTCAGTTCCACAGTATTTTTAATAATAATTCCCCAACAGCCTTTGGATGTGCTAATGGGCCTTAAAGGGGTCATTAGATAAACAATGTGCTGATGCAAGAAGTCAGTGACATCTAATATGAAATCTGAGACTTTGTTCATGAGTTCTTCCTGCTATCTGGTGAAGGTGCTGAGCTTTGGCACATGACTTGACAAATTCTTAAGAGCTCCCTAGGAAAGAAGACAGTTCAGGCCAGACCCTTGTGAGTATGTGCTGTCTGGCTATTGCAAACAATATAAGACTTCTGCTTCTAAGAAGTGTTAGAGCAACAGACTTCTCCAGTTGCTTTTGAACTGGGATATGATCAAGTTTGGGCATCTGACTTTATCTTGCCATGTTTTATTCAACATTTGGCCTGAGGAATGAAAGAAAATATTATATAACCATATGGCTATATAGTTATATCTTTATTCATGGCCTCCTAATTGGCTTAGACAGTTACTGGTCAAGACAAGTAGACCAATTGTGTGCTGAACTCTGAGTAAATTAATTTCTCACTTTTCAACATTTTCCAAAATGATTCTTAGTGCCTTTTTACTAGTAAATAATATATTCTTACCATAACACAAAATAAAAAACATGATCAAAACATAAATAATTTATGCTCATAAATGTAAAATTGACTACATTTCAGTAATGGGTATAACTGAATTTGACTTGAAAACCATCATCCAACAATATACTTGGAAAATAATATACTTAGAAAATAATAATAGGTTGTAACAAAAAAAATTTTATTCTCACTGGGCCATGTTATGTGACATAATCTTAACTACTACCAATATAACTCACTCCAGTACACACACACACACACACACACACACACACACGCACTTGTTATTTACTGGAAAGTGATGAATTAAAGTAGGTATGCTAACGAGACACTATTACTGGATTTTGGAGTATATTTAAGGCTAAATGATACCTCCTGTGCATATGAACTACTGTGCATTTAACCTTTTTATGAAACATGTCTGTTCAGACATGAAAGAAAAGTGTGTTTTCAATTTATGCCTAATGCCTGAAAATTGTATTTAATGTGTGTAGCTCAAATTTTAGATTTTCTTTCATTAGATTTCTTTCAATTAAAGTGAATTTAGCTAATGTTGAGGGTCAAATTTGAGTCTTTTGTGTTATACATAGAATTATAACTTGATTTTTTATCTATTTTCCTAATATCTTTTTAATGATAAAACCAAGTTAATATATGTATATTGTGTTCACAGAATAATTTAAAGATTTTAAATAATATTTATTTATTTTTTAAAATACCCATACAGATCCTACTACATCAGGTACTTTTCTAAGTGTCTTAAGAAATTCTCTTTCATTATAAGAGCTATGATTCAATATAAGAAAAGCTTCAATATTTTGATTATTAGGCAAAGAAAAATGTAGTTTTCTAACGATAAAGATGCAAATGAAAATTATAATTCATCTTATTGTGTCTTCTACTTACTAAATCAGAAAGAAGATAACTATATTTGCTATATTTTCATATTAAATGCTTAAATTATCCTATCTTGAAATACTTAAACTTGGCCTTGGGATATGGAAAATTCTCTTTTAAAAAGGTATCTAAATGATTTATAGTTTCAAAAAATAATTTTTATATTATACTTTCATAATTCTAAGTGAGAAACACTATCAGAAAAGGAATCCTCATGATCACTAAATGAATAAACCTCTTAGGCACTCAGTAGTCAAAGATACTTTTATTGAATTGTGTACAAATATCCTTAATATCCAGATGAAATAGTTTTTCAGCCTGCAGCACATTAATAATATATCTCAAGGAGGTGAACCAATAAATTATAGAACTTGATGTTCAAAACTCTAATGTGAAAAAAAGTAAAACCAATTCACATCGACAGACTATTTTAATGTAATTCAAGTCCAGCTCCAATTCAATAAGAACTAGTATTTTTTAAATTAATTTTTATTTGGTTCAACTCCTTGCTAGTTCTCTCTGTATATAATTTATGAAAACTGCATGTTGCTTATCTCAAGATCCTGTGCATGTAAACTACTTTGCTTTTAACCTTTTTATAAAACATGTCTCTTCAGAGATGAAAAAGTGTGTTTTCAATTTATGCCTAATGCCTGAAAATTGTAAAAATAATTTTGAAATTGAAATGCTCCTATTTAGTTTCTACAGTGCCTTCACAACCTGATGATCAGTTTTCCCACCCTGACAAACTCAAAAGGATGAGCAAGTCTGTTCCAGCATTTCTACAAGATGAGGCAAGTTGGTCTTTTGTACTTTCAGAAAAATAGAGCCAGTGGGCATGGTGGTGCCTGTAGCCCCAGTACTTGGGAGGCTGAGGCAGGAGAGTCACTGTGAGTTTGAGGCTAGCCTGGGCTACATAGAGAGTTCAAGGCCAGCCTGGACTACATAGCAAGGCCCTGTCTTAAAAAACAACAACAACAACAACAACAAACTGAAAAAAGATAAGAAAAATGGAGGAAGAAGGGTAGATTTGGTATGCCCAAATCATTGTGTTTGTTTTCTACTTAGCAAAGACCAAAGCAGGATTGACCCTTGCCTTGAAAGTCAAGGAAACAGTGTTGTTGTTAATCCTGGAGCAAGGCAATACATGTCTCATTTGACTCAAACAGTAACTCTTTTTGGTCAGTGAAGTCAGATTGCATAGATTTGAGATTGTGACTTTTGTTTCAAAGTCAGTACAAAATGAGAAATCCAAGCAGAAATACATTGGCATGAATTAACCATGCCTCAGTTGCCTTAAGTTGGTTTGTGAAAGCTTAATCTAGATAGCATGACTACCTTGAAAACATCTGTTAAAGTAAAAAGTAACAGTGACACAGCAAGCTTTAAGGAGCATTTATTGGGTACGAGGAACTTTACATTTATTATTTCATTTAATTGAACATCAGCTATGGGAAGTACATACCATCATTATCCCCAGATATTACAGGTAAGGAAGCTGAGACCACGAGAGGTGAAGTGACCTCCCTCAGCCAGAAAGGGTTGAACCAGGACTGAAGCCAAGATCTGATTCCCAGTCTGGTAACCTCCATTGTATACTGTGTCAGCCAAGAACTATACTCATGGAGTACCTACTCTGTACCAGGCTCTGACAGCCAACTCTAACTCTACATGGTAGATACTATTTTCCTTTTTTTTTTGGTAGATACTATTTTCTTCACCTTAAAAAAAGAAAGACCCTTAGCTAAAAAGTAGATCTAGGACTTTAAGTCGGTGTTTGGACTTAAGATCCTGTGTTCTTGCAGTCAGGTGTTAGGAGCCTGAGGTCTAGAGTCAGAAAAAATTGCTGTGCAATCATGGATAGATTCCTTAGTTTCCGTAAGTCTGGTCTGCTAGTACCTACCAAGTGAGATTGTAGGGAATGAGTGAGATAATGCATAGCATACTGCCTGGAGCACAGTGATTAGCCACTAAAAATGTTAACAGCTACTATGGTTTTGTTTTGTTTTGGTTTTGGTACCGGGGATTGAACTTGGGTCCTTGTGCTTGCGCAGCAGGCGGCAAAACCACTGAGCTAAATCCCCAGCCTACTGTTTTTGTTTTTGATCTGATTCCTGATGGTGAAAGAGAAGCATTCTCAAGCGTTCTTTTAGTAGTTAGAATGTGAGGAAAACTCTGAGTAACATCCATCCTGGTCACCTGCTGTGCACAGGTCTGACCTTTGATGAACTGTATCTGCAAATACTCAGACTTTGAATATATTTAAGAGTCACATCAGAGTTTCATTTGGAATGAATTTGGAACTAACTCATTAGCCGGAAAGCCACAGTAGCTACCCTGTGGAGTTTCTGCGGTTTTATACCTTTGTAGATCTGCTTTGGTCTTGGAACTATGTAATAATTTAAGTGTTAAATTATATCAATTTTTAGTTTTTTACATTTTTCTTCTCCACTGAATTTTAACCTGCCCAGAAAAAAAGTTCAGATTACTTGGGTTTGTGTACCAGAAATGCCAGAATTGAAGTGTACCATTTTACCTTTCAAAGAGCATTATGTTGAGCTGGAAGGTGAAGGACTTGGGGATGAAATTAGGCCTCAGTCCTTCATCTATTGTCCTTTTGAGACTTAGCATTAGTTACATTTGTTGAGCGTCAACTACACTACATGAAAGCCTGTTTCAAGTCAACAAGACAGAGTTATAGCCTTATAAAAATTCACTAATGATCTGATATGCTAGGTAGAATATAGTATGTGCTAAAATGCAGGAAGATGGATTGTTAAGCATGTTGGGAGACAGTGTGACTCCACAGCCACTTAAAAGCTATGGACTGTTTTTAATCCTTGGAAGAGGATTCTTTGGTCATCCATGCAAGTCATTAATTTTGTTTTTATTTAACTCCTTTATTCATCTGCATTAGCATTGGCATCCATTATATTGATGCATAATTGCATGGTCATGGAATACGTTGGCATGAACTAACTACTCCTCTATCACCCTAGGAACCAGTGAATTGCTCCATAAGCTCTCTAACACCAAAAGGAGCTCATTGTGAATCTTGAATTTTGTAGGCTACCATCCAACAAACTTTAGATATAAATACAATGAAATTTGTCACTGCAACTTTTCTTTCTTGTCCAAGGTAGATTTTTCTTGGCATATATTTAAAATAAATATCTTACTGCTTTTTAGTTTTTTAAAGAAATGTGTTAAAATATAATGTGGATAGAATATGTAATTTAATATATTTTCTCATAGCAACAAAAAGATAAGCACACTAATGTTACAGAAATACACAAAGAATAGTTAAAAATTGTAAAAGAATTTATATATACTGTAATTGAGACAGATCAGACTAACATTTCTTTTTCCTACTTTAATAGTATCTCAAGTAAAAGACCTGCATTTTTTAGGGAAGCTGGGGCTATGATAATAATCACAGGAATTAAGCATGATGTTTTGTTTTGGCAAGATACTTAAACCTTTTGTTACCTGGGTAATTTTTCATATTATTTTCATTTATTATTATTATATATTTTATATATTAAAAAGTAATGTAAATACATAATATTTTAAAAGTAACAAAAAACTCACAATAGTGCTGTCTTCCATAGCACCTTGGAGCCACCTTGCATGTAGAAAAATCACTTTGCTATTCTGGTAGCTAAGCACTGCCCTCCTCCTTAGGCTAGATCCTGGGAAAGCCACTCATGTCATCCTGCATCCCTTTCTTTGGTAATTAGCACTAGTGTCCTTTGACCTTGGGAAATATCATAGAACAGTGGATACCAAGATATCATCTTTGCCTAAACATAGATTCTAACCTTGATTCATTCTGAATTTAAATACTGTGCATATTATATGCTGTTTTGTAGAGTGATGACAGAGAAACAGATACAGCATCAGAAAGCAGTTACCAGCTCAGCAGACACAAGAAGAGCCCAAGCTCTTTAACCAATCTTAGCAGCTCCTCTGGCATGACATCCTTGTCTTCTGTATGTAAACAAAGGCTCCGTGTTAATCTCTCTGCTGCTCTAAACCTTGCTTTGCCATGCTTCTGCTGATTGTAAAGTGGCCTCCTGTTGTTGTTCTCAGACTCTGAGGGCACAAGCATTTTCTCTAATCCATAATTAGCTTCTGGTGAACTACATTTTTTTTAAGAATAAAGGGTTTCCTATTCATTATTATGAATAAAAATTTTAAATATAAGTACTGTGCTTCAGAAATAAGCTTAAATTTCCAGCAAGATGTATCACTAAAATTTTTTATGTAACAAATGGGGTAGCTATTATAAAATCTGTTTGTATCAGATGCATTTTTATATACTGTGAAAGGCATATGATTGTACTTCTCTCTTTAATAAACTAGTTGAATAAATATACTGATTCATATTAAAGAATAGGAAAGATAAGTCTTTGCCTTATAGCAAGGTAGAGAACAGGGTTTTAAAAGGAAAATTCCTTAGGTAAAGTCGCTGAGATTTGATTTAAGAGAGTTTGACTTTACATGGAAATTTCTTGCATAAAGTGAGGGAGCTGTGTGTGCATGTGGTATGTGTGCAGAAATACACATATGTAAATGTATTGATACACACTTAGCTAAATATTTTCCTGATATGCGTACATATCAGGTATGCTAAACAAATGATGAAATTATGCTTAAATTCTTACTAGCCTTGCATTTCTGAAACCTTTTTAAAAAATTTATTTCATTGATTTTCTGCTGATAATCTAATATATGCCCTTGGGAAGTCTTTAAACCCACTTCATCAATCATCCATTTTCTACCCTTCTTGACCTCCAAAAAAGTGCATGGCTCAATAAGCATTTTTCTAGATTGAGTGGGTAATGTGGTAAAATTCCTTTTTAGTGCCTTGGAAATTTAAGCTATTTGTCACTGTGATTTGTGTGCCTGGGGTTTCTCATATTCTCTTTCTTTAGCATTTTAAATACTATGCATGCCTAAAAGTGGAACTCTGAATGCCACCTACCATAAAATCATTCTGTTTTGAATGAGCCAGCATCTAAATAACTTTACATTTCTCTTTTCATCTATGTCTTTTAAGAGCAACTTTTTTTAAAACCCTAGTGATGAAGATCGCATCAGGTTATCTGTTAATATCCTTACCCCATATGAAATTAACTATTTTTTATATGCAAGGTAGAGAAATAATGCCAAGCAAGGATTCTGTCTGTGAACCTTGCATTGGCTTTAAGAATGCGGCTGAGACAAACATTGCATGTTTCTGATGTTTTCAGGTGAGTGGCAGTGTGATGAGTGTTTATAGTGGAGACTTTGGCAATCTGGAAGTGAAAGGAAATATTCAGTTTGCAGTTGACTATGTGGAGTCACTGAAGGAACTGCATGTTTTTGTGGCCCAGTGCAAGGACTTAGCAGCAGCAGACATTAAAAGACAGCGTTCGGACCCGTGAGTACATTTTGGAGTTACAGTATTTACTGTCTTGTAGTTTTCAAACCATTGATCCTATAGAAACTAGGAAGGGAAAAAAGTAATCAAAGGGAGGGTCTGTGTGTGACTGTGTTAAAAGGAATATTTAAAAAGTTGGAGGGAAGTATGATTTTTAATTATTTTGCTGTGTCAAGCCCAATGCCTTTTTAAAAAATACTACTATAAAACAATGGGCTCAACATCCTTTTTCTTCTTCTTTTCTTTTCTTTTTTTTTTTTTTTTTTGCATCAACCATGGCTCAATTAGTTGTGTGCCAGGACTGATTTCTTTTCAGTAACAAACACTTTAATAAAACCGCAAGCACCAAAGCCTTTTCTCAATAAGAAACAAACCAACAGATTTAAACACTATATTAGAGATTTGCCCCCACCCCTTATACACACATATTAACTAAAGCCAAAAAAAAATAATGAATTCAGGAAATTTCCTTTAAAAATCTTCAGAAAATATTAAATGATCCATTCCACTAAAATCCCTTTAAATGCTAAAAATATAAAGGTGTTGGTGGGAACATTTATTAATTACTCCTTTTCTCAATGTTGTAAAATAATGTCTGTGGTCAGTTTTCATTGTATGGTAAGAAGAGGTAGAAACATCATTTTTATCTTCTCTGCACTTCTTGACTATTCACATCTCTTTTTTAGATATGTAAAGACCTACTTGTTACCGGACAAAGGCAAAATGGGCAAGAAGAAAACACTCGTAGCAAAGAAAACCTTGAACCCTGTGTTTAACGAGATATTGCGGGTATCTATAAACTCTTTATGTAGGAAAATCCTAAAGATAACCTGGGCATTGAAATAGCTGTGTCTTTTTGGATAATATCTGCACAAAGTCAGTCACTAAGGGAAAAGAAGGAAAGGAGTGAACATTTTCTGAGAATGTATTTTGTATGAGATGATACAAACGAATGTATATACATTATGCCATGCACTCCCTGTGCATTTCCTGCAGGCAGGTGTTAGCTACATGTCACAGAGAGACAAATGAAAACTTAAGAGAAATAAAAAAATTTGCTTGAGGATATAGTGGATAGTTTAGTGTTACAACCAGAATTATCTTCCATAGCACAATTCTGATCACTGTTTTTCTGCTTAAAGTCTTTCAAGATTTCCAGTATCCTAAAGATCACATTCATCCTTTATAACATACATACCAGTTCCTTCACAACCTGAGCTCCATTCTTTCAAAGTCTTTTTTCTGGTCACCCCATAATCCCTTCTGTACTTTCAAGTGCATTCTGTATTTTCTTTCATTGTAGTGACTTTTTGTTCCTTGAGGCTGTAATAGTCTTTCCCACATTCTTTCCCTACCTACCTCCTACACAGTCTTAAATGCTTATTCCTACAAGCACCTGTCCTTAATAACTCTGTTTCCCTACCCTTTGCTGCCTTAATTACATTGCTTTACTATAGGTTGTTCTAATGCTCAGCACTTAAACTAATAGTTTAATTTTTCTACCTTGACACTAAGTTTTAAGTTCCATGAGGCCAGGGACCAGCATTGTGTTGTGTATATTCTGTGCCTTTGAGCAAATAACATGTCTGCACCTCAGATCTTAGATAGAGGATAATGATAGTTTTGGGATCTGCAAAAGGGAAATAATAGTACTTACCTACTTCCGTAGTTGTGGACATTAAGATAGTTAATATATGTGAAGTGATTAGCACACATTAAACATTTAACAAATATTGACTAGTAATACAGTATCTAGGATAAGTACCAAAAAATATTTATTGGAAGGAAAGATGTATTCTTTTTTTCCCCTTCCTCCAAACTGCATTATGCTTTGTGGTGATTAACAGATCATTTAAAACTAAAAATATAAGAAGTATTCTTTTTTCTATCTTTCTGAAAACTCTTTTTGATTATCCTTTGGGAAAAGAGGAAGAAACAGTTACATGAACTCTCAGTCATCCGTGGTTGAATTAACTACTTGTAGATTTTCTACAGCAAGTTTTGCTTTTTTTTTTTTTTTTTTTTTGAGATAGGGTCTTGCTTTATAGTACAGGCTGGCCTTGAATTCACTATGTAGCCCAGGCTCGCCTTGAACTCGGGGCAGTCCTCTTGCCTCAGCCTCCCAAGGGCTGTAATTGCAGGCTTGGACCACCACACCTGGCTTCAATAGCAAGTTTTTAATTATAATTTGACTATGATAACTCTAGTACCCAAGCTATTTCTGGGTCAGCTACTTCAACCCTATTCTCAGGAAAAGCCAGCTCATTTACATGGTAAACTCAGAGAAAGGCAGGTTTTCTGCAACCAAAATGGCCATTCAAGTAGTATTTCACAAAGCCAGATGGAGATTATTTTTAGAAGTACTATTATTCCTTCCTTGATTATATATAATCGAGGTTTGAGTATGTTTAGATGAAAAACTAGGATACAGCCTAGGATAGGATACAGTCTATTTGACCATATGAAGTGGGGAAAAACCAAGTTTATCTTTTTTTTGAAAGCTATCTTGTCCTTGTGGGTTGTTCACAGTGAGAAGTGCATATGGAGGGGCAGGCAGTATATGTGGACTCTGAGCTTTCTGCTCAATTTTGCTGTGAACCTAAAAATGCTCTAAGAAACAAATACATTTTTAAAAGTACTTTATTTTCAGGTATAAAATAGAATTGGAGTAAATTTGATTGTGTTTTTAGACTGAATTTGATTTATGTTGTATCTGGTCTAAAAATATCCACCAAAATCAAATAATTGGCTTTTGTCTTTTAGAAAGCCATTACCAGCTATGATATTTGAGCCACGGTTTGCTTTTCCAGAGGGGAAAGAATGTCAGTTTTTATGAAAAATGGATTTTAGCTTTTAGAATCATGACACTTAGAATAAGGTGACTTTGCAATATTTGAGGGACTTGAAACCTAAGAGATGAGAAAATCTGATCTGCACAGATGATTTTTCTCTTCATCTCTGTGTCATAACTTTGGCATAATGTAATGTTATTCATCATTTTAATTTTCTTCTTTGAACTCCAGTATAAGATTGAAAAGCAAATTTTAAAGACACAGAAGCTGAATCTGTCTGTTTGGCATCGGGATACATTTAAGCGTAACAGTTTCCTAGGGGAGGTGGAACTTGATTTGGAAACTTGGGACTGGGACAACAAACAGAATAAACAATTGAAGTGGTACCCTCTGAAGCAGAAGGTAAGTTCAGAGTTTCTTGGTTGGTTGATTAATTGGTTGGTTAATTAGTTGGTTGGGGTTGGTTTGTTGGTTTGCAGCCTGGTGTATTGGAAAAAGCACACATTTAACTTGCAATCTGATTGTAGTTTGGAATCATTTTAAACTAGGGCTAAACTTATTTAGCTTGCACATTCAGTGAAGAAAAAGTAAGAAAGACTTAGGGAGAATGTTTAGTCACCTAGGAGAAATGTTTCCAAGGTTTTGGGAAGGTCATTTAAGTTCTTCACTCCTTTGAAATGTGAGACATACGTTAAGCCTAGCATATGGTCAGATTTTGATAAATGTTCCATGTGTCACTTGAAAAGAAAGTAAATTGTATGGTTATTGGATATAATGGTCTATATCAATTAAGTTAATAATGGCTGATAACATCTTTTATATCCTTACTGATTTTATGTCAATGTGTACTATAAATTACTAAGAAAGATATGATTATGGATTTGTCTTGTTGTACTTTTAGTTTTATTATTTTTTATTTATCTTGATGTTATCTTATGAAGTATATACACAGTTAGAATTTTTATTCTGATAGGCTAACAGTTTTGTCATTCAAAACTATGCCTTTTATCTCAGTAATATTTCTTGCCCTAAAGTCTATTTTGTCTATATTAGTATAATTGTGTCAGCTTCACAAGTTACAAGTTTATTTCAGTCTTTTCATTTTCAAACTTTCTGAATTCTTATTGTTAAGATATGTTTCCTATAAGCAGTAGTTTTAAATTAAAACTATTTTAGTCTGAAAATACTTGTGTTTTTAATTGGATTATTTAGCCCAATTGTACTTAATGTAAATATTGATATATTTTGGGTACAAATCTAATATCTTAATATTTTTATTATTTGTCTTATTTCCATCATTGCTTCCTTTTAGATTAATTAATTATCATATACTTCCATTTTCCTCTCTACCTCTTTTTTTTTTTTTTGGT